TTTTTCTCATGGTATTATCCAGCTAAGATCACTACTACAAAGTTGTTCTTTTACTTAGTACGAGCTATTATCACTATATATAGATGTTTTTTTACAACATTGTGCAGATTTCAAAATCTGTATGTAATCTGATATCTATGTGTTTCGTGCTGTTCCTATATAGATTTTTCTTTTTTGAGCTGTTGAGACACTGGGTATTAGGCGTAACTGGTGGTAGATACCCAATGTGACCAAGGACAAAGATACAATTTCGTAAGTTAAATGACACTTGGAATTAAGACCCACTGCAGTAGGTATCAAAGATGCAAGTCCCGAAACACTACACATGTCTAAATTGACTATATGCCTACCATTAATGTGGTCGCAAAAGTGTTACAGCTTCTTCATGAGGCAGAGCCACAGTTAAATGATGATACTAAGAATTAACAGGGATGCCATGATATTTTAGAGTGGGATAATCAACTTACATTGTTCTGGTCGGCCTCTAAAATAATCTCTTCAAGGAGAGTGCCCTCCATGTTATATTCTGCACAGGCTCGTTGAAGCTTGTCGACTGTGATATAGCCACTGCCATCTTTGTCAAAATATGTAAAAGCTGCCTTCAAGTGCTCTTCCCGCTCTATCTTGTTTAGAGGCATGGTTGCAGCAATAAATTCTTCATAATTTATGGTTACATCAGTGTCTGTATCAGCCTGAAAAAAAGTTCAGACAGATTAGATGAAGTAGGACAGCAATGCAGACAATATCCTACCAACAAATCAAGAAATACATCTTATATATTATTACTGCAATACCATATATGTACAGCTTAGGCATTTTTCAGCAAAAATAAAATGCCATATGTAATCACAGCAATGATATCTATTTCTTAGGCCTTTTCCTACAGAGGAAATCCCAGAACCACATACGGGTTAAAGAATAGTGTGTGGTTGCTAAACGTGTTTGAAGCAGGAAAACATTTACACATTCCACAAATATGGACGAATCTTCGTAACGATCAGAAGCACGCACTTACCGCTTCCATTATATCACAAATGTCGGTATCCACCAATTCGTTGCCATATCTTGTCAAACCTTTTCTAAGCTCACCGAAAGTGATCACACCTCTATTTTTTATGTCCACTGTCTTGAATAATTCTCTTAATCCAGCAATCTCCTCTTCTGAAAGACGCTCAGCTATCACCTGGGAGCATATAAAGTGTCACAGAAGAAACAGAGCCGTACTGTTTACAAAATTGATAGATGTAGTCATGTAGGACATATAATGAAACAAATTAAATTCCAGCATAGTGCCTAACCCACACAGTTGAATGCCAAAAACAAAAGCATATTCCCTTTCCGCAGCAAGAAATTCAGGTGGTGAGACTAAAGCAGCAGCTCAAATGAACTTGCTCACATGGCAGCAATAGAGTCCATTCATGACCAATGGCATGGTCGTGTGAACTGTAATGTCAATTGATGATTCACAGTAACTATGCATGTGCCATAAACTAACATATTAGTAAAATCCAAACAAAACAGAGCCATGATCCCTGAGACCGTTATACTACATAAAGTTAATATTCTACCAAAATTTAAACTATTACACTTGTAAAGATCCAAAGATGGGGAATGGAAAAAATTTGCTGAGGAAACTCACTCTCAGAGCCAATTTCTGTAGATTGTTCATTGCAGAGAACCGCTTGAGCCGAGAGATAACACTAGGATCCAAAACTCCGTCAGTGGCCACCCCATTTTGGCAGATCCAGGGATGTCCTGGCATTAACATACAATTGGTAAACAAGTACAAAAGGAAAATGTTCGTGACTACTAAAACAATTTGCAAGGGTGAAGAAATAGATAAAATATACTTACGTAGCACTTCATGGGCTTTCAAACGCTCTGAAGGGCAATTGCATAGCATCTTTCTTATAAGATCCTTTGCACTGTCAGATATCTTAGGCCAAGGGTCTGATTCCAAATCAAGGTGCCCCTTCAGAACTGCATCAAATATGCCTTTCTGTGTATCTGATAAAATCAATATTGATCATTTAGCAATTCCAGGAAGACAGTAGACTCAAATTTAACACTAGAGTTTAAAGAAATCACCTGCCCAAAATGGTGGAACCCCACTTAGCAATACATAGAGTATCACTCCAGCTGACCACACATCGGATTCTGGCCCATAGCGTTTGTGCAATACCTCAGGAGCAACATAGAACGGGCTGCCAACTAGCTCACTGAAAACCTGGCCTGAATTGGTAAATTGGCGAAGTTAATAAAGAAAAACAATAATTTATTCAGAAAATAACAACACTTCACACTCGGGATGGGTACATATAATGCAGATACATGCAAACATGGATGAGGTAGAAACAGAGATTCATTTTCAATTTGCCTCATCCTCGTAATAAGCAGCAATGATAAGCTAATATTCATATCTGTTGTTGAATCAACAAGATATACCAACTCCTGATGTGTTAGTCAACATTCATGCCATGATGTTATACTAATTTGAATGTTGAAGTCGAAGTTCATATAATGATTGTTAAGCGTGCAGCAGGAATGTAACTGAATGTGTCCACCTTCCAGTGTCAACAAAATATCATGCAGCAAAAAAGGAAGAAAAACAGTATGGCATTTATTTGTTGCTTAAAAATATGTCCCTGTATATGCATCGAAATTCAATATCATACCTGGCTTGAAGTAAACGGATAGGCCAAAATCAATTGCTTTTATGGACAGGTCATCATCTTTGTCAAGGAGGAGGAAATTTTCTGGCTTGAGATCGCGGTGCATCACACCAAGAGAATGGCACATGGCCACAATGCTGACAACAATTCTTGTAATCTCTGCAGCCTTCATCTCGCTGTAATGCCCATTCCCCTGAATTCGGTCAAAGAGCTCCCCGCCAGGCAAGAGCTCCATCACAATGTGGACCGCCTGCACGTCCTCATAGACATCCTTGATCGAGACAACGTTCTTGTGTCCCGACAAATGGTGCATTATCTGGATCTCACGGCGCACATCCTCGACATCCACCTTGGTGATGAGTTTACGCTTCAGGATGGTCTTGCACGCAAAGTCGCACCCTGTACTTATCTCGGTGCAGAGGTACGTCGTCCCAAACTGGCCCTGCCCAAGCTTCCGGCCAATGATATAATGCTCCCTCAGGTCCGCCGTCTTGCGCCCGAGGACAGAGATGGATGTCGGATCCAACCCTTGCCTCAGAATACCAGCAGCGGTGGGCTTGAACGAGTCGGCATCGGGCCAGGGTGTCTCGGACTTCTTCAAGTCGGAGTAGCGTTCCTCATCAATCCCATCAGCATACCTAGAAGCAGGATGCTCCCTGGGGAAACGGCTGTAGTAGTCGTTCCCGGGGGTCCCATTCTGATTACCCATCCCAATAACACCACCCTCTGCAGGCTGAAAGCTCCCAGTCTCTCACAATTGCTGGGCCCTTAAATAGCAATAGAACACTACTTGCAAACCTGGAGAACTGGTAGAATTTCTCGGCGAGGAGGAAATCCTGAACCTGACATTTCAGAATAAGAAACTTGATCAGCAACCCATGGGTAACACTGGACGGCAAGCAAACCAGAGCAAAACTAAAAATTTAACCAGGGGAGGAGGAAGTCAGTGGAAACCTTGGGGATTGGCAGGAATTCCCTTCCGGCGGCGTCTCTCCTCTCGGGCGAGGAGATCTCCGGTGTGAGGCCTTCCACCACAGGGCCTGACGCGCTAAATAGGCCAAGCTTCTCTGCCTCGCACTACACGAAATCCAACTAAACCCCACGCGAAACACGAGGCCTCCGCCGCCCCCGCACACCAGACCAAACCCTCGGGGCTGGAAGAGTTCCTCCCGAAGGCAGCTTTTTCGTCCGCAAAGCTCCCTCCGGCAGGAAATCCCCACGCCGAGGGTCTCCAATGCCGCACACCTGGCCGCGGCCCGGACCCCGCGGCCGCAAACAGCTGGACCCGACCACGGATCGGCGGAAACCGACGAGGAGCAGCTGGACGACGGCTGGCCGCGCGGCGAATTTGGCCCGTGGCGCACGAAATCTCCGCCGGACGGACGCTATCCCGCGGCGCGCACGGGGACGGCGGGCGGCGAGCTGGACTGGAGCGAGCCGAGCACGGGGAGGATCACGCCGAGGGGGCTTACACGGATTCTCGTGTTCCGGAGGGGCCAAAGCGCAAAACCGGTGGGTGGAAAAAATGCAGAGAGGAGAGAAGAGGAGGGCAGGCGGGGGAGGGCCAGGTTTTATAGTCCCGGCCGGCGGGGTAGGTGCGACTCGGCGGAATTTCGCAGTCAATATATTTTTTTGAATTTCGCAGACAATTCTTTTTTTCTGGAACTCCCCAGTCAATTCCGATTTTCTTTTTAGATTTATAAGTACAAGAGAATTCGGCGGTCACGGTCCAGAAGCCTTTTTTTTTCTCCTCGACGCCGACAGAAACCAGGGGCTTTGCCAAAAAAGAAGACGGAAACCAGGGGTGGTAAAAGTATTTGGCCTTTGGTGGCAATGAGACGGCGGGCTCCGTCACCGTCACGGGTCACAAACGGTGATCGCCTCCTTGGATCTTTGTTCTTTCTAGAATAATGCTATGTGTTTTTGGTATGGTTTCTTTGTCCGTGGTACAAATCAAAGCTAGCGTGCCTCACTCCTCCGATGAGTACTTTGTTTATATTCACGACAAGTCAGAATTGAGCTGTGCTCCGGGACGGCTGTCTAAGCGTGCCGTTCGGAAATTGGGAAACTACGGCAGTGGATTGCAGTTGCAGAAGATTATAGTGGTTGGTCTGGAGGTTGGGGTTACTACTAGTAGTAGTTGTCTACTTTGGCTCAAACTTCTGCCTCCACATTTTGGAGGGAGCATTTCTGCCGTGTTGGAATCTCAAGTGTTTATGGCTTTTGGAATTGGATTACAGGTGTCTGGCCAGAATATGAGATGATTTGTTTGGATAAGCCAGAATATCAGAGCAAAGGTTATTCCAGGATTTTCCCAGTCGCAAAAAAAAGTTATTCCATGATTGTTTGTACTTTTAGGGAGCTGTGGCAAAGTACAACAAGGCTATTCCACGATTTTTTCAGTCACAAAAAAAGGTTATTCCATGATTTTTTCAGTCGCAAAAAAAGGTTATTCCTCGATGATTACTTTTCCTGCTAGATTATACTGACCGCATCTGGAAGAAAACTATTTAACATTATTTAGTGTGTGTCAAAGAAATAGTAAGAGCAACTCCAACCGCTTCTCTACAAGCAAACCAACCTATGGTTGGATGCTTAGGATGGCAGTGGTATCCCCGACCCATCAGGCTCAAGTTATGTACTTGATATTGGTGCTCGTATTTTTTGTGATTTATTTCAGTCCTTCCGGCTATGCGCATGTATGAACGTTTGCATCTCAAAAGACAATTCCCCTAAAAACTTCCCATAAAAATGCTTTTATAGGATATCTATACAATTTAGGGGAAGCTTCCTGAGAGCTACTTTCATCAGATCCCGTAAACCTTTTCTCTTAAGTGTGATTTTATTTTATTTTTCATTAAACAAAACTAGATAACGACCTAGAGCCCGTCAGTCAGTGACGCACGTGACAGCATTCCTGCAACATGGCTGTGCCGCGGCGGTGACACGGCGGCTTTGCGGCGAAGTGACGGCGGCACAATGGCTTTCCGGCAGGGCAGCGGCGACACAGTCGTTTTTTCACAAAGCGACGGCGACATGATGGCTTTTCGGCGACGGAGCCGTTGTCCACATGGCGGCAACGACACGGCGATTTTTTAGCAAATCGGCGGCGACACAATGGCTTTACGGTGATGCGGCAATTGTCCACGGCGTGGCAACGACACAATGATTTTTCATCGAAGCGGTGGTGGCACAGTAGCTTTCCTGCTACGCAACAATTTTCCGGCTGGGAGCCGGCGACGCAACTACTTTCCGACGGGGAGCCGGCGACGCGACGGTTTCAGGCGGTTACCGTGTGCCAAAAGTTTGCCGGAAGCAAAACTTCGCCTAAAAAGAAGTGAAATTGAGATCAAATTCGCAGGATCCCGTAAATTTATTTCACGTTTACGGGATTTGTTGGAAACTTTTTTCTGCCCAAACTTCCGTTAAACGGTAGTTATTTTACGAAACGGGATCTGTTGGAGTTGTTATAAACTAATTATCTGTTTGTTCAGCTGATCACCCTCATTATGTCTTCTTCCACCACGGGGCTCCATCCCCTTCCACCGTGACGTAGTCGCCTCTGGTCGGACCATCATACTCTCCAACCATTGGCGTCGGCATTCCTTCCTGAGCTCCACATTTGCGACAACACCAACTCTCATAGCATGTGCGTCAGAACCGCAGTCATCGCCATTGAACTTTTGAATCTGTGTGAAGCGCCTAACACCAAATGTCCTCGTCGCTTCTGCACGGCGAGAGATTCTAACCTCACCGCGCCAATGAGGCGTCAAGAATTTATGTCGGAGCTGCATCAACTCCGTCCCATCGGACAAACTTAAGGAGAATCGCAACCCGAAAAATCCACTCGAGATGAAGCATCGTCATCCATCCAACACACGCCTTGCAAAGCAAAAAAAAAAAACTACTACTCTGGGATCCCCCTACTCACCTCTGTCTGAACGGCAAGCAGATGGAGGATGGATCCACAGGCTCGTCGACGAAGTTTGAAGGGAGTGAGTGTCCTAGGCACCACAGTCGGGAGACAAAAAGAGAAACCCTGACTTGGAGAAAACTGCTTAAACTTTGACTAAGTTTATATTGAGAAAACTCTCGACATCTACAAACATTTACAATATGAAAACTATTTCTTTTGATGTGTGTGCATATATATTTGGTATTTGAGATGTACTTCCTCCGTTCCTAAAATATAGGTATGTCTTTCAACAAATAACTACAAACGGAGCAAAATGAGTGAGTCTACACTCTAAAATATATCTATATACATCCATATGTGATAGTTTTTTTTGCGAAGAAGCCGTATGTGATAGTCCATTTGAAATCTCTAAAAAGACCTATATTTAGAAACAGAGGGAGTATATGTTTTTCTGCAAATAATAAATTCATCAAAATTTATAATTTTGAGAAAAATCACATGAAGGGAGGGGATTAGTACGAATGTACGACACGCGTGTCATGTCGCGTGTTCCAAGTCAAGCTGTTGGGTGGACGGTGCCGGTCGCCCTTGGGGCGCACGAGGCGAGGTGCGTTTTCAGCTTGCTCGACACGTCGTACTGGCTGAAGCCCTCGCGAGTCGCGACGGCCACATGCGCCGGCTGGACTCGAGCAGCGGGGACAGAGCGGCGGAGCCACGCACGCGGCCACATGGTCTGGTCTGGTGGTGTACAGCCGTCAATTCGCTTTTCCGAGAAGCAAAACGCGCCCTTCACTTGGGGCGACGCACCGTGATCTACGTACGGCATCGAGGACGTCGCGGCCTGTCGGCGCTCCGCTTTCGTGCCGATCTCGGCCGAGCGACCCGCGATGGGTAACGTGAGAGAGGCACGGTTAGGCCGCCGTCGCCGTCGGGACACGATCGGACAGGGGTCGCTCCGCTGCTGGCTTTCCACACGCCATCGGTCGATCGCGATCGACGATCTGCTGGACCCGAAAGGCGGTGACAGGCCGACCTGGAACCCACACCACAGCGACCGCGAGATCGAGTCGAGAGGACGTGACGTGACCCAGACTCTGCGCACGGCGCACCGCATTTGCTGCGGTGCAGACGGATTACTTCTGGAAATAGGCACGGATCACTATTGCACAAAATGATAGGGGAAGTTTGGTGGATACGAAACGCTACGGCACGAATACGCTTCTGGAGTAAAGGATTGGCCTACTGTGAAGTGCGGTGCGTGGTGCGTGATGTTGATGTAGGCAGGTGTGCACTTGTGCTGCCGATAAAGAAATACAGATGGACGACGTACGTGCGGTACCTTGGAAAGGTTAGGCTCTTTTTTCTAGGAGTAGGGAAAGAAGAAATGTTAGGTTCGTGTCTAAAGTAAGATAAAGTTATGCGTTTGTTCGCGGAATTTCAAAGGCTAATCATATGATCATATCCGTTAATATATTCTTCCACCAACCACTGTACGTTGTGTGCCAAGAGGAGTGTGCTCGTTTTAGCCCCGTCTATTTATTTTTATTTTTTGCGGAGTAAATGTGACCATGGTCTTAGGGATGGCACCTGCAGGGTATGGGTATAGGTGGCTCTACCCCATATATCCTTACCCGTCCATCCTGAGCTTACCTATCACCCATACCTGTCAAGGGTATAACTTTTTTCCATACCCGTCACCCGACGTTGACATGGGTACCCGTGCGTAAATATACCCATGTTTTAAACACATCAATTGAGTAGAAAATGGTTGTAAAAAGCAACATATAAACACA